AGGCCACCATGCCACTCCAAATCCAGCCTCTTACTCTGTGAAGGAATCCACATTAAACATCCCAGAGAGATGCCTGAACATATCTTGCGAAAGAGAGACCAACACTTCTCTCTGGGTGATTGGTTTCACCACCAGCCTGCTGTTCCAAATTGTTTTCCGCTATGCAACCAGAATGCCCTTCCTTTTATTTAAACCCATTATTCTGGGTTTACACTCCGGAAGGGTGGAAAACAGGTCTTTAATGTCTTCTCTAGGACACTCTTCTACCCAGGTACTTGGAAGGAGCTGCCATAACCCTAGTCCCAGTTTGATCTTCTCAAGGCAAATACTGCCAGTTTCCTTATTTATTTATTTTCAGTTTCTTGTCAAAACTCAGTACACTAGTGGCTCCTCAGTGCACGTTTGTTTGTTAGTTTTGGAAAATCAGTGAGAAATCACACAGCTGCTGTTTGGCAGTTTGCCAGCCAGTTTTAGTGGCACAATTTTAGGAGGGCTCCCTGAGTGGTAAAATACGGTTTGAGCAGCTGCCTGTCTATCCCAGTTTTCTACGCAAAGCATCCTGGAATTTGTTTGCCATTTATTAAGGTCACACCTTGCCCTTGCCTTAGAAAAAAAGAGCACTCAAGAGAGTGAACAATAAAAGCCTGATAAAGTAGCAAGGCTATCGTGAAAAGTTCGCCAATAAAGCACAACACATAAAATCTTAATGGTACCTGCCTCCACCAGCTTAAAGCACACAGGAGCAGCAGGAATGTTGAAATGCCAGAGCCATGTCTAAATAAAAATACTTTTTATCTGCTGGTGGCAAACAGTGGAAATGGAGCTCCCTGGATCTCAATGGGTGGACGTTTCAAAGATTTGGGTTTGGAGCAACTATCAACAAGGCCCTGTCTCATACTGCTGCATTGTACTTAATGGACCAATAGGCAAAGAAGCTGTTATAATTGATAGAAGAGAATATTTGTAACTTAAGGGTTGAATTTTGGGCTCTTTGGTACTCTCTGAGCTTGGTTGTTTTCTTTCAGACGTTTTATTACCCAACTAGACAACCTCTTCAGTGTTAGAAGAGAATGGGGTTGTTATAGCTGTTATAAGAAAGGAATCATGGCCTGTCTACATCAAATCCTTGTTAGGCTAAATATACTTTGTTGCCTTAGATTAGTGTTTTTCAACCTTGACAATTTTAAGGCATGTGGACTTCAACTCCCAGAATTCCACAGCCAGCATGAGTTGAAGTCCACATGCCTTAAAATTGTCAAGGTTGAGAAACACTGCCTTAGATGTTCATTGCACGATTTAGCCTCCATACCCCGTATCATCTTTGTTGCTCTTCTCTGCACTCTTTCTAGGATCTTCTATCTTTCTTTCTCTTGTCGTTTCTTGACTGATTCAGAAGTAGAGATCTGGGTGGAATATAACACCAGATTTGGCTCCATTGTGCTCCCAACAAATCTGCACATGTACATTTTTTATGGGCAGTTGCTTCATCCACAAGATTGTTTCCCAAATGAAATTCAATGGTGAAAAAAGCAAGGTTCTACATTTAGGCAAGAAAAACCAAATGTACAGGTATAGTATAGGGGATACCTTGCTCAATAGTAGTAACTGTGAGAGGGATCTCGGAGTCCTAGTGGACAATCACTTAGATATGAGCCAGCAGTGTGCTGCAGCTGCCAAAAAAGCCAACACAGTGCTGGGCTGCATTAACAGAGGGATAGAATCAAGATCACGTGAAGTATTAATACCACTTTACAAGGCCTTGGTAAGGCCACACTTGGAATACTGCATCCAGTTTTGGTCACCACGATGTAGAAAAGATGTTGAGACTCTAGGAAGAATGCAGAGAAGAGCAACAAAGATGATTAGGGGACTGGAGGCTAAAACATATAAGGAACTGTTGCTGGAATTGGGTATGTCTAGTTTAACGAAGAGAAGGACGAGGGGGGACAGGATAGCAGTCTTCCAATATCTCAGGGGCTGCCCCAAAGAAGAGGGAGTGAAGCTATTCTCCAAAGCGCCCGAAGGCAGGACAAGAAGCAACGGATGGAAACTCATCAAGGAGAGAAGCAACTTAGAACTAAGGAGAAACTTCCTGACAGTCAGAACAATTAACCAGTGGAACAACCTGCCTCCAGGAGCGGTGAATGCTCCAACACTGGAAGTTTTTAAGAAGAGACTGGAAGGCCATTTGTCTGAAATGGTGTAGGGTTTCCTGCCTGAGCAGGGGGTTGAACTCGATGACCTCCAAGGTCCCTTCCAACTTATTAATTAATTAATTAATTAATTAATTAATTAATTAATTAATTATTACTACTACTGCTATTATTATTATTATTATTATTATTATTATTATTATTATTATTATTATTATTTCCCTTTGAAAGATGTTTCTAAAGCAAATAAAGACATTTCTCTTTCATCCTGATGAAAAAGCACCAATAGGTAAAAATGCATGGGAGTTTTTATCTGTGGAGCCATACACAATGCTGAAAGCACTTCAGGTATCTTTGGGATAGTTTAACCTGAAGCCCTTTCAAGCTCCATAAACATGTAATAGTGCTGACACCTTTTGAACAGGAGCAAAGCAATCAACAGACTTTCACAGAGTAAGTAGTCCGAGATGTGTGGAAACAGTTTGGTGGCTTTAACCATGCCGAGAAGTGACAGCTCATTTCTGTAAAAAGCAGAAATATAATTTTCAACTTGATAGGGTTTTGTAAGTGGTTAGAATTTAACAAATAGCTAATAGAAAAAGCCCATTTGGCCATCCCGCAGAGACTCTTTACAAAGGGGTGACGGGATCATCATAGAATTGTAGAATTGGGAGGGACCCTAAGCCAGGGTTTTTCAACCAGTGGTACGGGTACCACCTGTGGTACATTGGCACCTGTCAGGTGGTACGCGACCATCCTAGAAAAGTGGTAGCACGGGAGGGGAATGAGCTGAACCGGTGGCAGCACCACACAAGCCTGAGCGAGAGATGGCTGGAGCTGCAGGGCTGTCAGGGCTCAGCAGAAGCACCAGGATCAGCGCCAAGCTCCAGCTGATCGGCACTTTTTTGGGGCTGTCAGGGCTCAGCGGAAGCGCCAGGATCAGTGCCAGGCTCCAGCTGGAGCTCGGTGCTGATCCTGGTGCTTCTGCTGAGCCCTGAGGAAGCACCAATCAGCTGGAAAGCAGCACTGATCCTGGTGCTTCTGCTGAGCCCAGAAGAAGCGCCGATCAGCTGGAATGTTGCAGCCTCTCCAGGGTCTTGTGATTTACATTCAGATGCTTGGCAACTGGTTCATATTTATGACTGCCACAGTGTCCCAGGGTCATGTGAAGTGACCAAAACCTGCTGCAACCACCCAGCAGACGGGGGGAATAAAAACCAAATACTCCCCCACCCCACCCCCACTGCCAATCCTCAACAGAAATGCTCACGACAATGAAAACCTTGGACAGGAGGTGTCTTGCTGTCGGGCGGGCAGGCAGGTGTCTTGCTCGGCTGTGGCTTGTGGAGCACTTTTTTCAGTGCCATTGTAACTTTGAACAGTCACTAAGTGAACTGTTGTAAGTCGAGGACTACCTGTACTTTATCACTTTTTTTCTTCTTTTTTGGGGGGGTCAAGTTTTTGACACCTTGCTAGGCGACTGGTGGTACTCGGATATTGCGATATCCTAAAAGTGGCACAATGGGTGAAAAGGTTGAAAAGCCCTGCCCTAAGCATCATTTAGTCCAACTCTTGCAGTGAGTAAACTGGTACAGGAGTCTCTGTGGGTTTGCTAGTCCTAGCAAAGTCTGGGGAGGCGGTGCTTGTCTCCCTTTCCTGGCCAAGTAGGACCATTGCAGGTGAAAAATGGAACGTTCCAAACAACCCTGGAATTCATCTTTCCTTGAAATGGTGAGATTTTTTTCCATCTCTAATCCTAACACTATAGGACAGTGGTTCTCAACCTGTGGGTTGGGACCCCATTTGGAGTCAATCGACCATTTCATGGGGGTCGCCATTTTTTTTGTCCGCCATTTTTTTCCCCCTTTTCCGGTGGGTGCCTTACCTCCCTTGGGCTGGGCCAGCTCGTGGTCAGCCTGCTCCGTCTCTGCCGCTTGCCAGCTACGCCTCGGCCGGCGCAGGGAGCGGAACCACGCATGCGTGGCGCTCCCGGGCAGGAAAAGTCCTCGACTTACGACCGGTTGGTTAGTCCTCGATTTATGACCGGTTTAAGTCCTCGACTTACGACCGGTTTAGTCCTCGACTTACGACCGGTTTAGTCCTCGACTTACAACCAGTTTAGTCCTCGACTTACGACCGGTTTAGTCCTCGACTTACGGCCGGTTGGGGGGTCGCGGCATTAAAAAGGTTGAGAACCACTGCTATAGGAGGTTGCTGGCCAGTGAACTTGAGCGAAGAGAACTTCTTTTTCTACCGTAGACTCTATAAACTGGGAAAAGCGTCAAGACTCTTCTTTTCCCCTTCCCCCTTCTAGGCTTACAGCTGAGTGTGCATCTTTGTCGTGCTCTTAGATTTTCCTGTTAATTTCACGCAAAGTGCTCTTGATGGATCTCTTGTTATTTTTTGTGAGCTATGCCATAAATTTGTGACATCTCACTGTAGCAATCTGTTAAGTGCATGTTAGAGGTGGGGGGGGGAGGATGAAGAAGGACAAGATGCTGCTGAGCTAGACAGCCATGTGCGGGCGAAGGAGTGTAACTCTGCTTTATGATGTGGTGAGCAGGTTCCTGCTTGTAGGTTGTGTTTCCATCTTATGCTAATTACCTATGGAGAGGAAGCCAAGAAAGAGGTTATACGCTGCTTGACACTCCACCAACTTGTGTTTATTTAATTGGCATGGGCCTTTTTGCTGGCAGAGAGTGGCTGGTGGAGTGACAGTAGGGACAGCAAATGTCTACCTAGCTGGCTACTGTATTCAGACATAGCCAAGTCAGTTAAAGGTTGGCCATATTTACACCACAGACTCAACATGGTTAGATTTTTACCTTGATGTCTACCCCCAAATAGTGGGCAAGATCAAAAGATGAAGAACTTCTCCAGTGCGTTTGTTGGGATACATACAGAATCTTGTAACCTATCCAAGGAATTTCGCAAGCTAATTTTTAGTAATTTTTTTTAGTAAGGTGGAATCTCTTTGAATCATCTGAAATGCTTCCTTAGATATTTCTGAGTTAAAGCATCGGCTGACGTGCTTTCTGCTTCCTGATTGCTTCGGTCTACTCTTCCTTCCATTTCTTTCCATCCTCCCCAGGATCACATGTGGTTAGTTATCTTGTAACGTAGGTTGTTGTGTGAACGCTGGCCAGTTGGTGACTTTGTGATTTAACTTCTTGTGCGAAACCGGAAAATGAATTAATTCAGTGACCAGGTTAAATATATTGCCTGAAACCAGTCTTTCTCTCTCTTTCTCTTATTCTGGTTTATTGTTTACTCTGCTGTTTGAATTAACTTTAGGAGGATGAGGGTGCTTTAATTCAACACTCCTTCTTAAGAAATGATATGCAACTATCTAAGGGACCTTTTTTCACAGTTGAAAGCTTTTTCCCCTCACTTGAAAAGGAGAGGAACTGCTTTGGTGCGGTCTTCTGCCTCAACTAGTTCTGAATTTAGAATTGAACTAGGATCAATATAAGTTGAGGCTTTCCAAACTAGGACAGTTTGCATTCTAGATCCCTCCGTTTACCAGTTTCAGCTTATTGTTTATTGATCAGTCAAATAAACATATCAAATCATAATGTGTTATCAGATAGCAAAATAAGGGGGAACTAATATAGAGTATTACAATATCCAAATATTTGACAAAATAATCATCCCCTTCATCGCAATCTGATCTACCCACAACATTCATTCAGCTATAAATTCTACTCTGGGCTGCAACCTTGAACGTCTTGTCCAAGGTTGTATTATACAAGTTGATTGATATTCTCCCGCAATCTTGGTTTTTCTATTTTTTTAAAAAAAATCTTCTTTGTGTTTTTATTATTGTTATGCTGTTTAATTCTCACTGTGGTTGCACATTCTGTGAGATGGTCAGCTGTGTAAATCTGTCAAATATAAATAAAATGGGTGTCCCAGTGCCTGAAAGGGAAAAAAAAAACCCCAGCTCTTTCCAAAAGGCTAGGAGAGTGGGGGCCTGCCAGATCTTCCCCTTTGTGAGAGAGGGAGAAATTGCTGACTGTCCAAGGGCTGGGACCCCGAAGGAGGTAGGTTAGCCCAGAGGTCCCCAACCTTTTGGGCACCAGGGACCAGTTACGTGGAGAGAGGTTTTTCTGTGGACCGGAGGGGACGTGGTTTTGTGTGCTGCCTGCATCCCACGGATGGATCTTTGCTTGTTTGTGTGGACCGGTTGCTGGCGTGCTGCATCCCAGTACTGGTCCACAGATCGGGGGTTGGGGACCCCCGGGTTAGCCTATTGAGGGTGTCCCAGTGAGCTTGTCTCTCATTGTCCAATCAATTTTAAAAGAGACGGAAACAGTCACTCTGCCTGACCACATTCTTCTCCCAGGGAAATGACCTTGAAGACTTGGTTGGTTCTCACAGAGAGCAGTCCTCAACGGTCCAGTTTCACGTTCCCCCAGGCCCTCGCCCTCCCTTCCGGCCTCCCTCCGGGGTTCATGGCAGTGAGGTGGCAGTTCTGACAATTGGAAAAAGCAATGAAATAGAACTGCAAAGCTCCCCTTTACTGGGCTTTGGCCCCTCTGCCCATCATCCTGAGCTAGCTGGGGATTCTGGGAGGTAACAGAAACCCTGGCAATGAGTTTGGGGAAGGTTTTCCCAAGGCTTGGCTATAAATACCTTGCAGCAAATTATATTTTTGTGGCGGATTTGGCAGAGGTCCTTTTTTCAAGGTTCACCCGCAGCTGGTTTCCTCAAGAAAGGCAAGTGAGACTGGCAGGGGACTAATGGCATTATGCATAATTAATTACTAATAATTAATCATGGCAGAGAAAATTCCTGCATGGAGTTGAAGTGGAACAAAATGGCCCCTTCCCAGCTCATCTTCCCACCGTAGGAATCAGCTGCTCAACGCATCGGTTTTCTACTGTCTTGCGTGGAGCTCCTTGATATATTGCCTAAACTTTTCCTTGCTAGGTTTTTAATTCAGAATTGAGGCCCTTTATAATTACAATAATAATGATAAAGTTGGAAGAGACCTTGGAGGTCATCCAGTCCAACCCCCTGCCCAGGAAGGAAACCCTATATACCAGGGGTAGGCAACCTCGGCTCTTTTATGACTCGGGGACTTCAACTCCCAGAATTCCTGAGCCAGCCATGCTGAGGGAAAAGGGAGAGGTTTCCATGCTGAGCCATGCTGGCTCAGGAATTCTGGGAGTTGAAGTCCACGAGTCATAAAAGAGCCGAGGTTGCCTACCCCTGCCCTATACCGTTTCAGGCAAATGGCTGTCCACTCTCTTCTTAAAAACTTCAGAGTTTTTAACGAAACTGCACATTCACCGTGGCATCTGTTTTATGGCACACAACTCAGGGTTCCATTCTGTCCTTGCTGTGATGCTGAATGGACGAATGCTGCACAGCTTTCGTTATATTTATATATGTCTTTATATCCTGCTGTCTTATTTTTAAAAACAATTCAAGGGGTGAAAATATCTAATGCTCCTCCCTCCTCCTATTTTTTTT